ATATATGAATGAGACCAAAATTATCTGCACTCTGGCTTTAGAATTTATTTTAATCAACTTTTAGAAAAGACAAATACATCATTTTTCGACATAATCTCCTTGCTTTTCAAGTCACTTTGTTAACAAGCTTTTGTATTCCCTCATTAAAAAAGTTTTAGGATGAGCTGCGAGTCACGAATGCACCGCTTTCTTGTCTTCTTCATCAGAGGTGAATCTTGGCAGAGCCATAGCTGATTAGCAAATGATTTGCCTCATAATCCACTGTCACTCTTCTATTCGATAGAATCATTTAACGTGTCATCAGCCTTCTTGATGGCTAACACTTGTGCCACCTTCCTTGAACTTATCTATCCATTTATACACACTTCTTTGCGACCAAACACTTTCTCCATACTGCGCACAAAGTCTTAGATAAATAACGGCACCAGGCACACCCTCAGACCACAAAAAATGAATCACTGCACGCTGCTCTTCTTTCATGCAAATCCAATGTGGGGCATCCATTTTTTTTCCTCACACTGCAGGTACAAATGAACTGACATAACACGTTCACACCTGCACAGCAGTGACTGGGGAGACAATAGCCTTGAATGGAAATCGCTGATAAGACAGTGCGGCCAACAGAAGTTTCCATATAACCGTAGTGCGGATAATTTTTTCTTTATAAATATATTTATTATTATTTTTACAAGTGCGGATAATGTTTGACTCACCCTCGTATATTCAAATAAAATTGGCCCTAAATTAATTCAACAAATGTGTGCATTTTTCATGGCTTAGTAGGAACTACATTCCTATGCATCCGATATTATCACTGATTTAGTGCAGCTGACAACACACAGCATTTTTTGGAGTGGTGTCAGCTCTCCCTGGTTTTATTTTGCTAAACTACCAAAACCCACCCCTACACTATTTAGTCTGTAGTCCCAAGGAGGGCTAATTAGACTACTTGAAAAAAAACACAGGAAGTGGGCTCAAGTAAATAAAAGAAGCTCATTGTCAGGGTTTATCATACACTATAAGTCAAAGTAGTTTAGTTGCTTCTTGGCTTATCCTTATTGTAAGCCCCTCCTCCTTCCACCACAGAAATACTTACCTATCAGTTGGCACTGGTTCCGTCCAGGACCCACCAGCTGTTATCCTCTTTTCCAGCTGATTTTTGATTGGCATTTATATGCTACTACACAAAACTCTTTTTTTTTTCAATATTTTAGTTTGATCACTCACTTTTTATGACTCTTGGCATGTACTCAATCCATTGGCGCAACGTTGAATCTCCCATAAAATAGATCATTTTACCAGACAGACATTTGCTGATGGCAGAAGAGGACTCAGGAAGATAACTTTTACAGTTGGCAGGGTTCCATTGTGTTTTGAAAAAATAACCACTCGGCAATAAAGGATCTTCCCCGGTTTTGCAGTTTGACTCTGGTTTTCTAGAACGTCCTGCAAAATGTATATAAAACAAATATCAGGTGAGCTATATGTGTTTGTGAACTTTCATTAGCTATTGTGTACGTATCGACAGCCATATAGGTAAGGATTATTTTTTAGTTTTGGATAAAGCATAAAATGGTTAAAATCTTCGTTAGGATTATTATTATTTTTTTTGCTATATCGACTGGGGACTTCATCCCTTATTTACTATCTTCATAAAATAATTTAAGTGTAAATCTTCCCAAAGTGAGGGAAAATCCCAAATTAACCCGATTGTGCCCATTGCAAGATTTCCCCTTTATTCCAGTTCTGGTGAAACTGTACAATTTTGGATTTCCTATCACCTTCTGTCCCTATGTTAAAAGAGACAAATAGCGAGGGTGAACCCAACCAGGGAACACACACGCGAACAGCAATAAAAACGTAACAGGGGTGTTCACATTACACTGTCCATTACTTAAAACACATTTTGGCTTTAGATACACCTTAAGATTGACATTACATGAAGTATATGCAGTATCATCGAAAAGTTTGCCCCTTAAATTGAAAGTTTCAGGACCACAGAAAACTTTAATTGACCATAACACCCTAAAAGAGTGAGAAAAAAATTAAAGAGCAAACATAAAACTTAAAAACTCTGTCCATCTTGCAAATGTGAGTCATGTACTATATATATTGTGCTGTTGTTAGATACAAATACATCTATTATTACAGGTGTGTACTATAGTTATGACCAACCATCACTAAAATACATCAGTCATTGCTAATGAGGAATGATACACATACAGATGTGACTTCATGGCATTGCAGAACCTTAGAGTAAAAATTAAAACTCACTGTTGCATTGCTGAACATCAACACTGCCAATGTTCTTTGGAATCTCCACGCCTATATTGGATCTTTTGGTTCCATGTAGAGAAAACAATCAAATGAATTTAGCTATAAAACCAGGATACATATTTTAACAAGGTCATGTCATATATTGAAAATCACTTTGAAAATAAAAACGTCGATCAGTTGAATATCCGCAACCAGGGACCCTTTTAGGGGCAAAAAAAAAACATTAGGGTCCCCCCAAAATCCCTTATCAGACCCTGCATCAGAGCAGTGGCCTGGCTGGGCCCCTACCCCGCATCATACCAGGCCACTTGCCCTCAACAGAGGGCAGGGCCTCCCTGCCCGCAGACCCCCATAACCACTGAGCTAGGCTTGTGGGGAAGAGGCCCTTGTCCTCATCAACATAGGGACCCTGCCGCATGTTGAGGGTAAGTGGCCTGGTGTGGTGCAGGAGGAGAGCTGCCACAATTGCTGCTCCCCTTTCCTGCTCTGCCAGGATGCTGCTTAGATCAAAGGTCTGGTAAGGGATTTGGGGGGGGCGACCCTATGCTTCTTTTTGGTTTGGGGTCCCCTTTAAAATTCCTACCAGACCTAAAGGGTCTGGTATGAATTGCAGGGGGTGACCCCACGCTGCTTTTTCCAGATTTTCACGTTTAACAAGATATCAGTTCATTCCGAATGACATTTGGACAAAATTCTAATTTTCGTCACAAGTTGATACGTTCAAATTCGTTATTTTTCCCATTCGTAAATTCCGAAGCATCCAAATTTCGGAATGTGTCGATTTTCAGCCGAAACTCAATTCGAACAAATACGACTGCCCCAGTCTACTGTGTAAATGCTAGTAACAGACGGCATCATATATGTTATTTTTTATTTTGTCCATAGTTCTAGTTTAACAGGATAATTGTTTTCTATGGAAATCAGTCTGATTGATTGATGTATGTTTGAATGTCTTCTAATATACACCATCTTACATTAAAATGTATTTCCAGTGTAAAGTGTACTTCTACTTTTGCAGTGAAATTTTAGAAAACCCCTCTTAATGTTTGTTATGTTTTTATATTCACACAGCATACCAGAAAATAATGAAAACAACATAATACTTACCTTTTAGATGTCTCTGTATAGTGGCCTTCAATTTCAAAGAGACAAGAAACTCTGTCTGTCCCCATAGAAAAACTAAGTACAGACTGAGCTTCCTCTGATTACAATTCTTCCAGCTCGTTTGTTAGGACAGACAGTGTTCAAATCTAGTTTACAACTGATAATGAGATTTGCCAGCACAGTACTGACAGAGTTAATTATGTTAACATTGACCAGCCCCCTCATTCCAGAGCAAAACTTAGTACAGAGAACAGCGTTTCTTGCAGAATAGATCATGTAATATACAAGCAGCAAGCAATATATATATTTTTAATTTATACTGTGAATGAGAACATGTATGAAACAAATATAAAATCCCAATTTGGCTGCAAAAATGGAAATACACTTTAAAGCCTTATTCCAGACATGTTTTTAAATTCTAATTTAATGCAAAGAATTTCAATTCCTTTCAAGATTTTACATAGACCATAGAGAAATAATACATAAACATGATTGTGAGACCCACAATCACATTACCATTTATACTGGCTTTGCAAAATAACAAATATATAATTTAAAGATTGGCTGAAAGGTTTAATGCAGTATAAAATATTTGGGAATTAAATAGTATTTTTTTAACTAAAGATCTTCATATTAGACCAATAAAGTGGACAACTAAGGAGAAGGACAGAAGGATTTGGTTTCAAAAGAGGGACAGGTCCTCCTAATGATAGACAGTTGGGAGGTTTGCTGAAGCCGGTCATACACCAGTAGAATTTTGTTCAAAAAAATGTATTTTACCATACTCAGTACAAGTACATGTACAGATACTTTTCCAGGTCCAAGACTAGACTAGAGAAAAATGTAAACGTTAGGAGGCAGCTGTCATTTATAAGGAGCACACGGAGCTCCTGGGATTTGTACATCTCTGTTTTAATTTTGTTTTTATAAATATAAATAAAGTGATGCACTGATACCAGTTTTGCAAGTACAAGTACTGATACTTGCCCAAGTACTCACAGATACGAGTACTGATACATTTTTGTTTATTGTCATGTGACAGTTTTTATAAAACAACACAGACTAATGATTTCAGGATGGTGGTGGAGCGCCAGAGCTTTGCCCCAGCTGCAACCCTGGTAGTTCTGGTGAAAATGCTAGGTATCAGCACTGGTATCTGAACTGGTATCTGAACATCCCTACCTAATAGCTAATGGGGCCAAATCAACCATCGCTTTCAACTATAGTAACAAAAAAAGAGAAGGAGCAGAAGGAAAAAAACTCTCTCGAACAAACGCAATTGTAACAGTGAATGTGGCTTTTATTTGAAAAACTCTTTATTCCAAAACCAAATGTTAAAATGAAACAACATTTCAGATGACATTCTACAAGCTTCTAACGACATTATCAAGAAATGATCATACAAAAATCTACCAGTGTATGGTCAGCTTAACACTTTGCAGTTTACTTATAAAAGTACATGCCTGCATATGCCATTCCAATGGCACTAGCACCCTTAGATGGTGCTGATGAGTATAGGAAATATACTAGCCAACGTCATCTAGGGGAGCTAGTGCCATATGAATGGGAATTTTTCTAAATGAACCCCTTAGCATAGGGGTAAAGTTACATCTCTATCTTCAAAATAAGTTTCTTTTAGGAAAGCATTTTCCTTACTCTAGAAGCTGCAGATTGGAATTGCATGCTGTTACATCTTTTATCAACCAGACAGCAATAATTAATTGACAGAACGTCTAACTCCTCCCCACTCAATCAAACATAAAAAAAAAAGTTTTTGCCGAGAAATACACTTTAACTTACACATCACCTGCCTGTGGGAACAGAGTCAAATGGTATAGCAAAGTCCATACATTCTACATCCACATCCACGCCTTTGTTTAAATTTCCCTTTACTTTCTCATACAAAGAAAGTAGATTTATTTGACAACTTGTCTTTTGAAATCCACGCTGGCTATTGTTTATAATATTATTTTCCCACACACTCTCTTGTATGTGCTCCTTTACCACTCCCTCACATATCTTCCCTAAAGCTGGCCATACACTGGTACGAACATTCATAGGAAACATCTCATCAGAACATGTGATAATGCCAACAGAGACTTGGCGAATGTCGTTGAAATTTTGTTTGATTTATACATTTGATTTTGGAATAAATGAAATTTCCCAAACGAAAACCACATTCACTTTTAGAATTTTGTTTATTTGAGAAATTTTCTACTTGGCTCCTTCAATTTTTTTCACCAGTATAGTTGAATTTGATCATCAATTTGACCCAATTAACTATCAGAAACATGAATAAACATTCCAAATGCAAACTTTTTTGAACACATTTGTACTGGTGTATGCCCAGTGATGGCAAATCTGCCAACTGTCCCTCATGGGGAGGAACTGTCCCTCTTATGAAACCAAATCCATCTGTCCTTCTCCTTAGTTGAAATTCTACTGGTTTATGGGTGGTTTTAGGTAACATTACAGGTCTGAGTGTAGACTTTGATCCTTTTTAAGTACTCTTGACAAAACTTTGCAGAATCATTGAGAAACAAGAAATTGTGCAAATACACAACTAAGCCAAGTTTCCAGTTTAGGACAGTGTATATTAGCAGAAATCATAACCTACATCTATATGACCAAGTGAAAACTTTAAAAATGTTATGTTTTTGGATCTCTACTTTACTATCTTTAAATAAATTCCAAGAAAACACTTATAGGTCTATTTAAAAACAATCTGGAGGGACCTGTGAATCCATGTGAAAGTTCATTTTGTACAAAAGAATGACTTTCTAGGACAAATGCAATACCAAACGTTGACCACTAGATGGAGCTCAGGAGCTTAGAAAATAATTATTTCCTATTCTCCTGAGCTCCAGCTAGTGGCCATAATGTGATAGTACATTACATTACATTCAACGCGAAAAGAAAATATATGAAGAAAGTTAATATTTTACCCTATTCACACAAATCGAACATTCATAGACAAGAAAAAATCTATTTGGAAAAAAAAAGAACATTCATAGAGCTTCACGGGGCCAATTGTTTATAGGCTCCTCAAATATGCAGAAGACACACATATAAAGGACCTGCTTTACCTGCCAAAAGATTTCTATTTCAGGCTATTCAGTCCACAAACCACAGCCCTGTCTGACAGAAGAGGAGAAATTATTTTGTTTCTGCTGCAGCTCAGTAACACTTGGCTCCTTGTGCTGCTCCTTCCTTCCCCAGCCTGAGCTCTACTGTACAGGGACTGCAAATGGCTAACACTAAATCAAATGTAGGTACTTACACTGCTTGCATTTAAAAAATAAAGGGAATTCATTGATAATTATAGAACTGTCAGGAACCCAAGGCCTCTGCTGTAGCTGGTGGTGGTTTTACCTGCTGAGCCACCTTAGAACCTTTGATAGTTTCATGCCTGATCTCCTGTGTAGTCCTCAGTTAAACCTAGTTTCTGCTGAACTCCTTGCTCCTCCCTTGAACTTCCTATTTAAGCCATGCCTCTGCACTTCCTGTTTGCCAGATTATTGTGCTCCTGCCAATATCTTACTTCCTTGCTCCTCCTGTGATACAATCCGCTCATACTTCTACCCGTGTACCGACCTTTGGCTGCTGATTCACCGACTGCTCTCATCGTCTTCCACTTCATACCTGATACCTTTGGCTACTGACCTCGGCTTGATCTCTGACTACGCTTCTGCCTGCACCTATACTACTACCGTCTGCTTGTGTACAAAACTCGGGCTGTTGACTACGCATCTGCCTGCTGTTTCAGCAACTGGACTCTGAGCCTGTTCCAGATCGTGACAAGAACTGAACTAAGTTGTTTTTCCTTTTACTTAGCCTGCTCAGATTTAAAAACAAAAAAGTTAAACAAAATATATAATTCTTGCTTGATATGTACATGGATTTCTTGCACTTCTGTTCAATTTCTGAACTATGCCGTTTGTTATCATTATAGCTAGCAATGTAGTATGATATTATCTTTTTCTGGAGACTAGCTGCCTCCGAATTTTGACCTTCCTTGGGAATCCCAATTATTCAAGATAAAAGGTAATGTAACAGCGATATGAAGAAGAAAGAGGCAATCCCACCATCACATTTTATTGGCCTGTGAGTTCAAAACTTAACACACCAGCACTCCTCTCTCTGATGTGTTTCACTGCCATAGAGCTCAGCCATAGAGTACAGCTAAGCTCTATTTGAATAAAACGCAGGAGGAAGGAGCCCGACGGTGTTATATTTACCTCATAGTTCAATAGAATTTTATGGTGGAATTGCTTCCAGAGTATGATTTCCATTTTTCATATCGTGATTGCAGTGTTGGTGTCCAGATGAGCCGAAGAGAAGGGCTGGAAACCTGATACCAGAGGATCTGACTCGAAACCTTGAGTGGAGCTTCCTTTATAAAAAGAGATGTAGATTCCTTCACTAAAACAATTTAGGAAAATTGACTTGCTGTATTTCTTGTGAGCTATAACTCCAAATTACCTTACAAACATTTGCTTCTCCTTTTTGTTGAGGTAAAAATAAGGTGTATTATCACTCTTCAGTCTTATAAACGCCTCACACGGGACACCAGGTAGTTTCATGCAATAGAAATTCTCTTCATATATGTTATCGGTATATTCGCACATTTCCTTTTGTTTCGAGGCCAACTGAAAGCCACATTCCGTGGACACCTCTTTAGTATTGTTGAGGAACTGTCCTGTGAAAATGATATATTTGTATCTTGCATTCCGTAATTTCCATAAAACAGACACTCCTTCACTTGGATGCAGTAAAAGAATAGAAATCGATACACGTCCTTCCCAAAATAATGTAAAATAGATATTATAGGTGCCATTGTCGAAGTCCTCAATTCTTCCCGAAGCTCCAGCTCCGAGGTTGGGTGAAAAGATCCGGGCTCGTAAAAAGTCTCCTCCGTGGGTTTTTCTTTCCCCCAGATAATTGAACATTTCAACTGAAACAATTAATGTGTCTCCAAGACATACATTTGAGACATTATTTAAAAGGGTGGCAAAGCTGTTCTTAGCACTGCTTGTTGCATTGAAACTTACAAATGTTGATTTCACTAGTCTTTGCTGCATGGAACTCAGCAGCTTGTGTACTTGCTGGTCGGTGTCACTGGATATAGTTCTTGATGGCTCTACATTTTCCGTAGAGGCCAGAGAATGTTGGATTGGGAGGAATGAGGTTCTTTTAGGCTTTAAGAAAAAAAAATTGAATTGATATTTCCAGGGGAAAGTTCCAATAGTTTTTCATTTTTGAATAGATTGTGGAAGCATTAGAACCCCCAGTTGGGATTTACTGCTATGCAGAGGTCTGGTAGAGACATTTCTCCTCGCTTCCCGCTCCAGTGATTGGACAGAATCTGCAACAGGGACGCAGTCAGCACTAAAAAGCCATCAGATGTTCTAGCCTTCCTATCTTTTACTAAAGATGCGTTGCTGTTGCAGATTTTTATGTTGAAACTATTGTCCACTGTTCAGTGAGTGAGGGGAAATGTCTCTAAAGGAGCCCCACATATCAGTAAAAAAATGTTTTGGGATGGGTTCTAATCTTTACCATCCTTTCCTAAACAACAACACACGTTTTGGCTGGTCATACACTTAAAGATATGTAATGTATTCAATCTAAATGAGATAAACTGTCAGCACATCTGAGAAGCAGACAAAAGGAGGTAGTACGTTAGTTTGCCAAAAAATAATAATAATATAATAATAAAAAAAATACCCTACTACACCCTAATACTAATACCCTTCTCCTTCTTTCCTTCACCTTAACCCTTAGAAAGGAACTGCAGTCATTTAAAAAATTAACCCTTGCAGTGAAGCTACCCCCACACTGCAACAGTTAACTTGTCATTTTGGTCTAGGGGCCAGAATACAGAAGATATACTCACCTGATCCTCAGTCCTGTAGCAGTGGGTGCTCACCTCTATCCCTGTGCTCTCTGGCTGTGGTATGGACCATGGTGTCCTCAAAGAAAATGCAGGTTAATGAACCAGGTAAGTATATATTTTTTAACTTGCATTCCTAGACCAAAACAAGCACTTAACCCTTGCAGCACGGGGGGTAGCGCTACTGCAAGGGTTAGTTTTTGTTTCCTCCTGGACTCACAGGAGAATAATGCAGTAAATGGCACCATGGACCTGCTTTCTGTTGTGTTTAGGATCCGCCCGCTGCCAGAGAAGTAAAAGAGCAAAGAAGACCTGTGACATCACTGGGCAGGCCCGAAGACAACTGGTGCTGTGGGTGCTCCAAGTGTGATGGGAGGCCAGAGTCTATAGTTGGTCTTTGACATTTATTCTAATTCATTAGTTTAGACCTTAACTGCAAGGTGTATTCACTTGCCTCTTCTATGTTCTTTTTTCTTCTCTAATGTGGTTTCACCTTGTCATAAAACAGCGGTATGGCAGTTGGCAAGGCTAAACCATGAAGTCACCACTTCTGATAGCTGATAATATCATTTGTATACATGTAAAATATCTGTACCCTAATTCAGTATAATATTCTGTGTGATGGACTACAATCTCACGTTTAGTTTACTAATTTGTATTGAGATTTTAGTCTATCATGAGAGCGAGCTTGGAGTGGTGGCTACTTTACAACACACACAGGGACCATGGGGAACAAAAGTAGTCACCCTCCAGAAGGAAGGACAGTGTAAAATCCAATATACCCTACCATCCATCAATGAAATATGAGGGTAAAATGAAAACAAGAATTTATGTGATAGCAAACATCACATACAGATATCAAAGTAGGATACAGTATTCATTTAAGGACATACCTTGAATGAGTTTAGGTGAATGATGTAACTCAGCAGGATGATGCAAATAATAGAAAAACATACAAAGATTTTGAGATTTTTGATGTGGAAGCTTGACATGCTACAGTTCCTTGAAGCAAAAAAAGAAAAAAATACTTTCTTGTTATAATCAATAGACTGTATTTAAGTAGACTGGAAAAATGCCAAAAGGTCAGCTATCAATGTGTCCTTATCCACTTTCAGTATACCATCCCCATCTTTCTGGCTGAATTACTCCCTCTTCCCCCATTAGTTCTCCATTATGATCCCCTTTTATGGAGTTTCTTACTTTTCCATCTGCATTTACCATAATATAATGATAATATAATTTTTTTTACCTTCCTCTGGATCAATTGTGGGTAACTGTGGGCAAAATGTTCCAGGAGAAGTGAACATTTTAGGCCAAAATAGTTGATTTGCAAATATTCTCCAATTCAGCTCACTTCATCTATGTTGACCTAGATTGTTCACTTCTCCTACCTTCTCCAAACCCTCTTACACTTTACTGAATAACCCTGTCAATCTTTTTTTCCCCTCTGTTGGGTAAACCCGATGGACTTGTGTTTTTCTTTTAACCTGAGAAAACATGCAATTATAAAATAAATAAAACAAATTCTGGAGTTTCTCATGGTAGTGGACACTGGCAGAACTACCAGGGTCGCAGTGATCGTAACTGCGACCGGGCCCTGGCGTTCCGCCACTTGGGGGGGCCCAGCGAGGAAAAAGAGGGCCCCTCCCAGAGATAGTGCCGCTCATTCCCTGCCGCACAGGTGCAGCATGTACGTGCTGCTGTGCGGCAGGGCCGGAGAGGCTGTCACTGGTCCCTCAGAATGTGCTGCAGGCACCGCCTACAAGTCCCAGCAATGCATTATATTTTTAAGTAGGAATACACCACTGCTAAATCTGGGCATTTTCACGAGTACTCACACTTGTGAAAGTGCCCCGATACTAAAAGCAGATACCGGTGTTATGTCGAGAACGCCGACGTAGTCGAATTTGCTGACCTCAGCATCTGCGCTTGCACACAGACCAATATTATCGAGGAAACCGGGATTTATTCACAAAGTATTTTGTTTAAATCATTAATTGTGACTGTTAATAATATTCCAGAAATCATATACCGCTATCCGTCATTTACTGCCATGGACGGTATATTATTAACTGTCACAATTAACCATTACAAACGAATACTTTGTAAATAAATGCCATGTTTCCTCGGTAATCCCGTCTGTACGTAAACGCAGATACTGGGTTGGCGTTCTCGACAGAACACAGCACTAAAATTTTAAACAAGCGGCTGTCTGAGGTCCCGCGCTTGCTGGGGACCTCGGCAGCCTTCCTGATTACATGTGGTGCATTGGCGTTTGGGGGAACCTTCATGGTTTCTTGCACCGTGGCCCAGAAGGTTCTAGTTACGCCTCTGGTAGTGGATAACAATACTGACTAGGGTGTTCTCTTGGACTGTCCAATTCATGTTCTCCTGGCAGTACCAAGAGCCCCCCATGGAAGTTGTGGGTACTTTTAGATTTTTTCAGGCTACTTTCTGTAAAGAGATCAAAGGATATGTAAAAGACGGTAACCAATTGTAACAATATGGTTTCAACTTGCTTGAGCTAGCCCAACAACAGTGTTTTCCAGTTGGTGTGGACTATGGCTCTTTGCACATTTGCACATTATCATTGCTCTATAAAACCATATTAAATAAGCCTTTCATCTGCTCCTTCTGTTCAGCAGGAAGTTGATATTGATGTAGAATTAAATCATTGAGGAGTCTCAAGAGGGGTTCGCTGGGATATTTTTTCTGACCTAATAATATACTGAGTTTATTTTTATCAGATCATCTTATCTGGTGAGTGATTTGGATGGAGAGGGGAGCACTATGGTGTGGATATAGATAGATAGATAGATAGATAGATAGATAGATAGATAGATAGATAGATAGATAGATAGATAGATAGATAGATAGATAGATTAGATTTTGGATATACACTGGAACACTATTTTGTAAATCACATGTCTATAGAATTTATATACTGTATACATGGATATGCACATGAGCACTTTCCAAATATTCTTGGTATAATTATTTGGATACAGTATGTATATATATATACACTATACTGCCAAAAGTATTGGGATACCTGCCTTTACATGCACATGAACTTTAAAGGCATCCCAGTCTTAGTCCGTAGGGTTCAATATTGAGTTGGGCCGCCCTTTGCAGGTATAACAGCTTCAACTCTTCTGGGAAAGCTGTCCACAAAGTTTAGGAGTGTGTCTATGGGAATGTTTGACCATTCTTCCAGAAGCGCATTTGTGAGGTCAGGTACTGATGTTGGACGAGAAGGCCTGGATCGCAGTCTCCGCTCTAATTCATCCCAAAGGTGTTCTATCGGGTTGAGGTCCGGACTCTGTGCAGGCCAGTCAAGTTCCTTCAGCCCAAACTCGCTCATCCATGTCTTTATGGACCTTGCTTTGTGCACTGGTGCGCAGTCATGTTGGAACAGGAAGGGGCCATCCCCAAACTGTTCCAACCAAGTTGGGAGCATGAAATTGTCCAAAATGTCTTGGTATGCTGATGCCTTAAGAGTTCCCTTCACTGGAACTAAGGGGCCAAGCCCAACACCTGGAAAACAGCCCCACACCATAATCCCCCCTCCACCAAACTTTACACTTGGCACAATGCAGTCAGGCAAGTACCGTTCTCCTGGCAACCACCAAACCCAGAGACGTCCATCGGATTGACAGACAGATAAGCGTGATTCATCACTCCAGAGAACACGTCTCCACTTCTCTAGAGTCCAGTGGCGGCGTGCTTTACACCACTGCATCCCACGCTTTGCATTGCACTTGGTGATGTAAGGCTTGGATGCAGCTGCTCAGCATTGGAAACCCTTTCCATGAAGCTCTCTGTGCACTGTTGTTGTGCCAATCTGAAGGCCACACAAGGTTTGGTGATCTGTAGCTATTGACTCTGCAGACAGTTGGCGACACCTGTGCACTGGGCGCTTAAGTATGCGCTGACCCCGCTCTGTCATTTCACATGGTCTACCACTTCCTGGCTGAGTTGCTGTTGTTCCCAGTTGCCTGCACTTTGTTATAATACCACTAACAGGTGACCGTAGAATATTACTTCCACTGGGAACATCTGGGTATATCTGATATAATTCTTGTATTATTGAATGAGATATTTGACAATAACTACATTGCTAATCCTAATAAATGTTATAATGTTCTATGATCATGTATTTCACATTGCACAAATCAAACAATGTGTTTTCCATTAAAGGAGAACTGCAGCCATAAATAAGAGGATAAAAATGAACAGCCCACTAAAAGTTAAAATAACAAAACTAGATTTGCTGCAATCACCTTCGGTCTTGAAATTTCTCCCGCAGTACGTTTTTTCAGTACTCAGCCAGCATCATTCTACTCACTTCCTGAGCCCAGGTCGTTCAGGGTCCAGCCCAGCCTGTGACTGATCAGTGAAAGAAGGAGGAGCACAGTGAAGAGCTCATCTTTCTGTTACTCTGCTCTCTCTTCCTTTGAGCATGCTTTTTGTCAGAACATGAACTGATTGGCTTCTTCTACTGCTTCTTCCTCTCACACTCTAGCCCTGCTGTGCAGGGAATGCAAGCAGCTGTTGGCGAGTCAGATACAGGTACCTAAACTGCTTGCCTTTATATTTAAACAAATTTAATGGCGGATTAATGATTTTAAAGCTTGGTTTATGTCTAAGGTTTAGCTTTACAGAAGAACTGCAGCAATACAAATAATTATTTACCTGTCTGAAGTTTGGCACAAAAGCTAATGATCCACATTGGGTTTAGGTCTGCTGGAACCCTAATGCCCCCAATGATATAACGGTTTCTGTGTATATTCAGGGTACCACTTTGCCATTGCAGGCCATGTGATCTGAGCCCAAAGTAAACCCTGATAAAGCAGTACACCTAAGCTAGTTACTCCTATTAGAATAGATGGTTGTGCAATAAATATCTGCATCTAACTGGATAATAAAGTATGTATCTTTAATTATATGACTCAGACTGCTGATAATATAAATATACAGATAATACACACAAAATGTATGTCTTTTGGTCTATTAAATATATTAGTGATGCACCGATACTTTTCAGATACCAGTGCGGATACTTGGCATTTTCACAAGAACTACCAGGGTTGCAGAGGTTGCAGCTGGGACCTGGCTCTGGCGCTCCACCACTGTCCTGAAATCATTGGTCTGTATTGGTTTAGAAAAACTGTCACATGACAATAACAAAAATGTATCACTACTTGTATCTGTAAGTACTTAGACAAGTATCAGTACTTGTACTCACAAAAATGGTATCGGTGCATCACTTTTATATGTATATAAAAACAAAATCATTCATTAAAACAGAGATGTACAAATCCCAGGAGCTCCGTGTGCTTCTTACAAATGACAGCTGCCTCCTAACTTTTGAATTTTTCTCTAGTCTAGTCTGGGAGCTTGAAAAGTATCTGTACTTTTCCTGAGTACAGTACTTGGTATCGGTGCATCACTAACATATACCGCTAAAAATTTCCATTTATATCTGTTTAATATGTGCAAAATAAACGTTGTTCTTGCCAACAAATTTGTACGTTGATAACTTCCTGTGCGTTCTGCCTGGGCTGATTCTTATTAGCTACATTGTTTCCAGCTATATCTGAGGAATGCAGAACCATGCGCATCTTTGAACTATAGCAGTGGGGTGAAATCATGCAGTTTAATCCTTTTACACCACTGCATCCCACGCTTTGCATTGCACTTGGTGATGTAAGGCTTGGATGCAGCTGCTCAGCATTGGAAACCCTTTCCATGAAGCTCTCTGTGCACTGTTGTTGTGCCAATCTGAAGGCCACACAAGGTTTGGTGATCTGTAGCTATTGACTCTGCAGACAGTTGGCGACACCTGTGCACTGGGCGCTTAAGTATGCGCTGACCCCGCTCTGTCATTTCACATGGTCTACCACTTCCTGGCTGAGTTGCTGTTGTTCCCAGTTGCCTGCACTTTGTTATAATACCACTAACAGGTGACCGTAGAATATTACTTCCACTG